TTTTTGTTATCACTTTATCACCAACTTCCATCAACTTATTTGGATTTGCTTATGCACCTAAGCCCGGGTATACCAGTTCGGTCCACTGATTGGTCCCTATCTGGTCCCATTTTAAACCTCCTCAACCCTCCCTCTATCTTTTTTTTTATAGCTTTTTAGCTTTTAAATAGACGTGTTCCTTTCTTAAAATGCTTCTAAGCCTTCGAAAATGCGAAAAAGGTTGAATTTAGATCAGACGGTTCTAGTCCCAAAATTCTTATCCTGGACCCGTGCCAGCATGAGGCGGGTTCGGTGTTGGTCTTGGAGGCGAACTGGAAATAACCGATCCAATCTTGATAATCGGCCGATTCTAGTCCCAACTAGTGTGGTACTATGGACCAGTTCCAACTGTCCGAACATACCTAAATTAAAGTCCAATATATAGTTTTATATAGTAAAAGTGAGTTAAAAATCAATGACGTATCGACTTCCAAATGGATAATGCAAATTGTATTATCACTATTATTAACATGGGCGTAGCTAGGGGGTGGCCAACCCTAGTCATGGCCCAACCCAAATTTTAAAAATGTCTATATTTTTAGCGCAAAAAATTACGCGCAAATTTTTTTTTTTCAAAAATATTCTTGTATTGGTCTAGTCCGGTCCAATGTCCTGGATTCGCCCCTGAACTTATTAAAACAAGGAGAACTCTTCGGTACACCACTGTTGGGGGTGTTTTGGTGCATCATCCATGTGTCTAAAAAATTAAAAATTGCATATTAATCCTTAGACTACAAAAAAATCATGTAGGCCTCTATTCCCCTAGACCGTTCCCCATCTTCCCCAAGCATGTCATATCTGGAATTCAATCGTAAATCTCGGAGTGTCCATGTATAGTCCGATTCCATATTTGTTCAACGTCGGAACTAGGTTACAACCGGGGCTAGGTGGAATCGGGAAGTGGTCTCTAAATCCAAAATCACCTCCACCAATAAAACTCCGAGCAGATAAGTTTACTTTTTTGTGTTTCTTGTTTCTCAATATGATATCCTTTCATATTAAATCAATTGTTGATCTAATTTGTTAGTCAGAAAATGTGTTTTTCCACTAATTGTTTGCAGCGGCGGAATCAGACAATAATTTGAGGGGGTGCTCTTATATTTTTTTTTGAAAAACAATTTTTTATCAGGATAAAATAAAAACGAGTGAAAAATAATTATTAATACATATAGAGTGAGGTTCTAATAAAAAGAGTTATTCCCGTGAAAAATGAGAACGGGCGCATTTTTTACTCGTTTCGGTACACTAGTAAATATTTATTTTACACTTTTTCACAATGAGAGAAAATTTTGATTTATTTATCAAATTGTCACCGAGTTTTTGATAAAATATAGTGCATTGTTGACTGATTTGGACTCATCGGATCTCAAGTTAAATACACAAGATTTATTCTCGATCAATTTTAATGATAAGAACTCTTTTTATTTGATCCGAAACTTATATATATGTATATGTAGTGTGTTTCAAATAAAAATGCTATTATACTAAACAAAAGGTAAATACTTATATTAACTTAAAGTAGTTTTAGAATTATTCTTGACATTAAATGACAACGTCCGTATATGTCATTATTAGAAGAAGAAATGATTAAAATTAATTTGAATTGAAGAAATGAGAATTTAAAATAAAAGATATAGAAATTCAAAAAGTGTGATTTAAACAACATTGCATCCTAGAGTAATTTAATTGAACATAAATAATTACCAAATGGGCTAAAGTCTAAAGAAGCAATAATGGAGAAAGCAAAAAAAAATTGTTGCTCTTGAGAATTGAACCCGGGCCATTTAGGTAGACAAAGCTCTCCCAACCTCCACCCTACCATTTGAACTATCACAACTCATACGTTCAAATAGCGAATCCACTTTAATATATGAATACTTTCTGAACCGGGGCTGAGATATATACATATACATATACATACATACACATATATATATATATATATACAGAACCACCGCCGGAGAAGGGGGAGCGCCAGCACCGGCTCGCCCCCCTAGTTCCGCCAGTGATTGTTTGGTAACAGTTGTAGCATTGATGCCATAGTCTCGAAATTTGTAACGATTGTTGAAATTTCTGCTCTTGCTTCATGCCCAACCTAGGAGGTTATTACTTGGATTGTAATTTGTTGGTCTGGTCTGATCTGTTTAAGTCTTATCTGGTCGGTTTAAGTCTGGTCTGGTCTGTTTAAGTCTGGTCTGGTCAGGTTTGGTAAACGTACGTCTGTCTTTGTGTATTTTATAACTGTGGAAGTCAAGTCTGATTTGTTTAAGTCTGGTCTGGTTTGATCTGGTCTGTTTAAGTCTGGTCTGGTCTGGGACCGAAAATAGTCCAAGTAAAAACATCCCTAATCTAATGCGAAGTATTTCTTATTATATTACCATTCTCTATTCTTTTGAAAAGTACTTGGGCTTCATCTTTGAAAGGTTCTCACTTTTCTTAGATATACTACCTCCGTCTCACTAAGATTGGGACGAGAGAAGGTGACACGATTATTAAAAAAAGTGAGTTTGTGTGGTTGATATTAAATTGATAAAGTAAGAATAAAGTAAGAATGATTTAGAGCCACACAATCTTTACCAAATTTGGTATGAGACAATCTTAGTGAGACTTTCCGAAAAGGTAAAATGAGACAATCTTAGCGGGATGGAGGGAGTACTATTTAAAGGTTCTCACTCCATTGTAGGAAATAATTTACTCTCTTTAATTACACGTTTACTCAAGTTTCTCTTTTCTACTCATTATTACATGTGAAGTCTCACAATCTCCAACTTATCTCTCTTTAATTACTTTCATTTTACAAGTTTACTTTTTCATTTTATCTTTCTATCTTTTTATCCAAATTACTTTAGTTAACTATTTGCTAAAAAATCGTGTCATTTACAAATTAATCCTCAAGCATATAGCCTCATTCGCGTGAACCCTATGGCTTGAGTATTTACCAAGTTAAGTAAGCATTAAATGTAGTTAGCAACTCTGTAACTACTACTTATTTTATTCATAATGTACTCCGTATGGACTATGGAGTAGGATGACTGATCCCATTCCCCAAACTACAATTTCTGCTAATTTTGAGTCTCAAAGTGTTATTCTACTCAAATAATCTCTAATTTAAAGACAATCAGACTCACACCATCAAACTCCCGTATTTTATTTTAGGGAAAAGTACGGAAAAAGTACTTGTGATTGAGTCCGTTTTCAGATAAGGTCATGCGTTTCATTCTTTATCAAAGTGATTCATGTGTTTGAATTCCGTTATCACAAAAGGGTCGCGCCGTTAAAAACGTCTGAAAAAGATCGTTAAAAGTAATACGATTTTCAAAAGTGTCCGAAAAATTTAAAGAAAAATACCAGAAGGTGCGCCTCAATAAGATGACCGCTAGGTCATCTTTCTTTTTTGTTTTCAGTCATCCTTGTCACCGGAAAGTCCATCGGAAAAGTGATATTAGCAAAATCATTTTAAAAAATAATTCAAACAGATCTGAAAAATTCAAAAGCGGAGGTGGTTTGGAGGTAATCTTTACGAGACGCACCTTTCGGTAATTTTCTGTTAATTTTTCGGGCACTTTTGAAAATCTGAGTTATTTTTAACGGTCTTTTTCTGACATTTTTAACGGCGTGACCCTCTTGTGATAACAGAATTCAAACAAATGAACTACTTTGATAAAAAATGAAACACATGATCCTATCTGAAAACGGATCCAACCACACATGACCCCATCTGAAAACGGATCCAACCACAAGTATTTTTTCCGTACTTTCCCTTTACTTTATTACTTGTACAAAGGTAAGTAACACTCATTGTCTTATTTATCTCCCAAATAAGATAAAAATTTAGAAAACTATGATGTCATTGTCATATTTTTAGGCCACTAACAAATGTCACAATTGTCACGAAACATTTCATTGTGATTGTAAATAAAGTTTTCCACTTTTTCTGGCCAAAATTCAAACAACAATAGAAACAATAGAAAGTTTTGCAATGAAATTCTCCAATAAATTTTTGGCCACCGGTAAGCGGCAGGCGTTGTTGGAGCCATGAAGGGGAAGAGGTGAATAGTTAAATATGAATTAAAAGTAAAAGTAAAATATATTAATTATACAAAGATTAATCACAAATGAAAATTAATTACACTTTTGCCTTTTAAAATTATAAATCTACCACCCAATACTCCCCCAGTCTCAATTTGTAAGATACATCTACTATTCACTTGGTCAACATAAATCACTCTTAATCTTTTACTTTATATATCAAAAGTTTATGAAATTAAATTTTTTTTTGCAGACTTTATAGCGGGCCTAACGGTTTTAATGTAGTTTCTGAATATGTAAATTTTGTTTTCTAAAACTAATTTGAGTGTTGACATAGATCAATTTGATTTATCATCAGTCAAACATTATAAATCGTAAATTGTCCTATAAATTAGAAGTGAGGGAGTATTTTTTTGGGAGAATTCCCTAAACAGGAGTAAAAAAGTTTTGAAATTTCAAAATAGGAGTATCATGTTTTTTATTTTTTGAATAAGAATAAATTTATGTCAAGTTTGGCATTACTAAGCTTTAAAACATGACATTTTTTCCAAACTTGTCAAATTACTCATATTCAAGGAATAAAAAACATGATATTCCTATTTTGGAATTTCAAAACGTTGCTGCTCCTATTTATAGTAATTTCTATATTTTTTTTGTTTTATGTTTGACTTGGTCAAAACCACCATGATCAAGTGTGAACTATGAAGGAGCATTTTGGAAGCGTTTTTCTTAGTCAAACATACCTTACAAGACGCGCATACCATAACTACCATTAACAAAAAAAATGATATGCAGCGAATGAAAAAAGTCGTTGGTAACCTAAAAACTACGAGAAGTCTTAAAACCTCAACAAATAAGTCTCTCCTAAAATCCCCAATAAATACTCCGTAAATTACAATTGCTAATTTGTTATCCCATCATTTTCAAAGCCCCTTTTCGCCAATTCACCACTTTTTCTCTTTCTATATCCCCTCTTCGCTGACTTCCCTCTCCTCCCTTCCGGCATCCCACGGCGTTTCCGGCCTCAAATCTATCTATTCTCTCTGAATATTCTTCTTGCGATTTAGAGAGATAGAAAGATAATTGCACATATAGCTGTATTTAATAGCTATAAACACATATTAGGAGGTTTTGTGGGGCGAATTTTCTAAAGTTCATTGTAATGGCGCCGGGCAGGAGGGACGTACAGCTGACGGCGACGAGCGGGCGTCTATCGGAGGATGAAGGCGATGGTGAGGGGGTCAGGCTGCTAGATTCTTACGATGAGGAGAATCCCCGGGGAAAATTGAAGAGGATTCAGGTTAGAGTTACGGGAATGACGTGCGCGGCTTGCTCCACCTCTGTAGAAGGAGCTCTTATGTCCCTAAACGGTGTCTTTAGTGCTTCTGTTGCTCTTCTTCAGAATAAAGCTGATGTCTGTTTTGATCCTGACGCGCTCAAGGTCCAGTGTTCTCTCTACGTTGTCGTTAAACATCATTTTGTGCTCGAAATTGGTTAGAATTAGAAATTATAGTGTTTTTTTCGAAGTTTATTTTACTTCATTTTAATAGTGATTGGTGGGACTGGGATGCTGTATGATCAACTTATTTTGAACTCATTTCTGGAGGGAAAGTGTTGGGGCGCGTAAGCTACTATCTATTTTTGCATCGTAACTCCTTCCTTTGTTAGTAGTTTTGATCTGTATGAGACATAATTGCCTGTTTTATCTCAGCATTATATGGTTGGGCTTTGGATTGAAAGCTGTTACCTGGTCTGCTATAAGTAATTTTTTTAGTCCTGCATATAATTGGGGATCGTAGAAAAATCAACTCTTTTCCCCTCTTGGGAGCAGTAAGTTTTCATTCTTCGAATTCTATAGATAGACCAATACTTATTCGGTATTCCTCTATTTCAGGATGAAGATATTAAAAATGCAATAGAAGATGCAGGATTCGAGGCAGATATTCTAGCTGAACCCAATGCATCTCGTGCTAATGCACATGGGAGCGTGTCAGGACAGTTCATCATAGGGGGTATGACATGTGCAGCCTGTGTGAACTCTGTTGAGGGCATTCTGAGCAGTCTCCCGGGTGTCAGAAAAGCAGTGGTCGCTTTAGCTACATCATTGGGGGAGGTCGAATATGATCCCATGATCATCAGTAAAAATGACATAGTAAATGCAATTGAAGATGCTGGTTTTGAAGGTGCATTGGTACAAAGCAGTGCGCAGGATAAAATCACACTAGGAGTCGTTGGAATATCGGGTGAGCTGGATGTTCAATTGTTAGAAGGCATTTTGTCCAAGTTGCATGGTCTGAGACACTTTTATTTTAACCCCACATCACGGGAGCTAGAAGTTGTCTTTGATCCTGAGGTTGTTGGTTCCAGATCCGTGGTTGATAGCATTGTTAGTGGAAGTGGTGGAAAATTTAATTTGCATGTCAAAAATCCCTACATGAGAATGGCTTCTAGAGATATAGAGGAATCCTCAAGAATGTTTCGTCTTTTCACTGCAAGTCTATTACTCAGTGTGAGTCATTATCCTTCCCAGCTGATTAGGTGCATTCTGTCAACTTTCACAAATTGTCACCGCTCACTCAACTTATGTTATTAGCCCCCCTTTCCTGTTTTTACTTGTCTATTTAGACAGGAAAATCCACTTAAGTGGAATGCTTAAATATTTCCTAAAAAGTGAAAACTAAGTTGAAAGATGATAGCCAGTAATCTTTTTATCTTTTTTCAAAACATAATAGAAACAGTGATGATATAATAGAAACAATTCTTGAATGAAATTGAAACATGAGTGTATGGCACTTCTGCATTACATACAAGCTAACTTCAATGCATTTTTAGTAATCACTGGATTAGCACATCTCTTTCAGAAATGTTAACACCAATTCAAATTGTGACCAGGTTCCAGTACTTATAATGCATATTCTCTGCCCCCACATTCCCTTGATCTATGCTTTACTGCTTCGGCGTTGTGGTCCCTTCCGAATGGGTGATTGGATGAAGTGGGCATTGGTGTCTGTTGTTCAATTTGTTATTGGTAAGCGTTTCTATGTTGCAGCTGGAAGAGCACTTCGAAATGGCTCGACAAACATGGATGTCCTAGTTGTCTTGGGAACTACAGCATCATATGTTTACTCTGTATGTGCACTACTTTATGGTGCCATTGTAGGATTTTGGCCCCCAACTTACTTTGAAACAAGCACTATGCTAATCACATTTGTCCTTCTGGGGAAGTGCTTGGAGATCCTTGCTAAGGGAAAGACGTCAGATGCTATCAAAAAGCTTGTAGAGCTTGCACCACCAACAAGTATATTGCTTCACAAAGACAAAGGTATTCTTATTACAAATTATGTAGTCTAGCTCCCTTTCTAGCTCCCTATTTTGCCTCATTTCTGTCATTATTTAAGTGATGATGAATTCCATTCGTGTATTTCAGGCGGAAAAGTTGTATGTGAGAGAGAAATAGATGCATTGTTGATTCAGTCTGGTGATATATTAAAAGTACTTCCTGGTACAAAAGTTCCTGTTGATGGAGTAGTTGTATGGGGCTTGAGTTATGTCAACGAGAGTATGGTCACGGGCGAATCTGTCCCTGTTTCCAAAGAGATCAATTCTTTGGTTATTGGAGGTACAATAAACTTACATGGTGTGCTTCACATACAGGCCACCAAAGTAGGGTCTAGCACATTATTGAGTCAGATTATATCTCTGGTTGAGACTGCACAGATGTCAAAAGCGCCTATTCAGAAGTTTGCTGATTATGTGAGCAACCTCTGCTTCATCACATAAAATGTTATTTACTATGCTAAATGTTTTCCGCATTGTTTTAGCTGCTTTCACAAATATCTGCTTTGCTTAGTTCAGATGGCCTTATTTCAGGAATTTTAATGACTTGCAGATTGCAAGCATTTTTGTTCCAGCAGTTGTTACTCTTTCCTTGATGACATTTGTAGGATGGTATGTTTCAATGTCAACATTGATCCGTATGCAATGATTCTTATGCTGTGCTTTCACATGTTATTTGTCTTATCAATGCAAAATGTTTTTAATGATAAGCTGTAATTGTAATTATGGTAGGTACCTTGCTGGGATTGTTGGAGCGTATCCAGAAGGGTGGTTGCCTGAGAATGGCAATAATTTTGTTTTCGCACTCATGTTTGCAATATCAGTTGTGGTAATTGCTTGTCCATGTGCACTTGGCTTGGCAACACCGACGGCTGTTATGGTTGCAACTGGAGTTGGTGCCAACAATGGTGTATTGATAAAAGGAGGACATGCATTAGAGAGGGCACACAAGATTACACATGTACTATTTGATAAAACGGGAACTTTAACTCAGGGCAGAGCGACAGTCACAACTGCAAAAGTTTTCACAGAAATGGATCGAGGAGAATTCCTTACACTAGTAGCTTCTGCAGAGGTAAAATCTCTATCAAATTCATCTCTGCACCTGTAGGGGAAAAAATAGGGAGGAAAATTTAGGGGAACTAGAAAGGAAAGATAATCTGCGGAAACATAAAAAATTGGTTCAATGTTGATAAGTCATTTTTAGATATTTGTTCTTTATATAATTGTAATCATATATTTCTATTATATAAAGATCAATAATGATACTCCCTCCGTTCCTAAATAAACTTCCAACTTTCTTTTTTCGTCCGTTCCAATTAAAACTTCCACTTTCCCTTTTTGGTAAAGAATTTGTGGTTCACAACATTTCTTACACATTTCTCTCTCCTCTGCACAATTCTCCACCACACAATATCCAATATCTTAAACTTTGTGCCAAAAACATTTGGAAGTTAAAATGGGAACGGAGGTAGTAAATACTACTACCTCCGTCCCACTAAGATTGGGACAAGAGAAGGTGGAACGATTATTAAGAAAAGTGGATTTGTGTGGTTGACATTAAATTGATAAATTGATAAAGTAAGAATAAAGTAAAATTGATTTAGAGCCACACAAACTTTACCAAATTTGGTATGGGTCAATCTTAGTGGGATTTCCCGAAAAGGTAAAACGGGACAATATGTTGTTTTTAACCCACCAGGGTGGTTCAATCGGTTTGAACCCAGGAACAAAAAGTTCTCTGAGGTCACTAGTTCGAACCCCACTGGAGGGTGTACCTGGTCGTTAACTTTTGGGCTCGCGGGAGTATTCGTACCAAATTGGTACTGGCACCTGCGCCATATATAAATATATGTGTGTGTGTTGTGTGTTGTTTTTCCTTTTTTGGGCTAGAGTAAAACCGATAATGTAGTGTTCCAGTAATATGAGTATATGAAATCCCCTTAAATGATTGTTCATCATGATTCAGGCTAGCAGTGAACATCCATTGGGTCAAGCCATACTAGAATATGCACGCCATTTCCATTTCTTTGATGAACCTTCATCAAATACCACGAAGGAGACACAAAGTTATGGTATGGACTCCAACTTCTCTGGATGGCTGCATGACGCCTCAGATTTCTCTGCATTGCCTGGAAGAGGTATACTGTGCTGCGTCGGAGGAAAACAAGTCTTGGTGAGTCATGTCATGCCTACTTATATACATTTGAGTGTGTGTGTGTATTGGAAAGTAAAAGGTTTACTTATTTTGATTGTCATGGAATCAAACAGGTTGGTAACAGGAAGCTAATGACTGAAAATGGGATAAGTGTACCAACAGATGTAGAAAATTTTGTTGTAGAGTTGGAAGAAAGTGCAAAGACTGGTGTTCTGGTGGCTTGTGACGATGCTATAATAGGTGTCATGGGGATAGCTGACCCTCTAAAGAGAGAAGCTGCTGTTGTGGTGGAGGGACTAGTGAAAATGGGTATCACTCCTGTGCTGGTCACTGGCGATAACTGGAGAACAGCTCGAGCTGTTGCCAAGGAGGTCCGTACTACATAATAAAAATATTTAAACCACCACATAGATATGTTTTTTCTCAAAAAGAAATTTAACAGATCAGCTTACCGTAGTTTGATTTTGTATTTGTGTCCTGTTCTTTTCTCCTCCAATCATATTTCATCTTAACCAAATTGTAATTATTGGATAGCATTGTTGTGAAAATACATGGCTAACTTCGGTTATGTAGGAAGGGATGAGATATGGAATCTAATATTTAGAAGCACACAACTTTACCAACACTCAAATATGGAGTATTATGTTCTGTACCCCATCTCTCTAGGCAAAAAAGTAAAACATGGATCCTTATGACAATATACTCCCTCCATTCTTAAGGTTATGGTTGGATGATGGAAATACCAGGGGAAGAGGAAAAATGCTATGTTTAACTTTACCTTAAGAGAATGCCAAGGAAAAAGTAATATGATTCATTTTTAATTTATAGTTATATGTTCATACATTTAGGTTTCTTAGACTTTATATAACTGAAATAAATAGGCAAAATGACTTTGAACAAATAGCACAAATAAATTTAGAAAATTTATCGACTTGCTTTGTCTTGTATTTTCTGAGTTCCAAACAGGGCCTAAAGGTTTTTCCTAATTTCCTTCTTTTCCATCCCCAAAGCTCTCTCTTTTGCTTTTAAAGAAATAATTATGTGGTTGACTTCAATTTGATTTCTAATTCTCAACCACACAACTTCACTTGCCAAATGAAAGTGTAAAAATAAAAATAATTGCAAGAATAAATATGGACAACTCAACAAGAGTATGCATGTTGTATTTGTGTCCATTGGTATGCATATCAAACTTTTGAAAAAGCTGAGTCTGATGATGGACATTTTTTTTATTTTCTTGGTACCTGCAGGTTGGGATTGAAGATGTTAGAGCAGAAGTGATGCCGGCTGGAAAGGTGGACGTGGTGAAGTCATTTCAAAAGGGAGGGAGTGTAGTGGCGATGGTGGGAGATGGAATCAATGACTCTCCTGCATTAGCAGAAGCCGACATTGGGATGGCAATCGGCGCAGGAACAGATATCGCGATCGAAGCGGCAGATTACATACTGATGAAGAGCAACTTGGAGGACGTCATCACAGCCATTGATCTCTCAAGAAAGACCATAGCTCGGATTAGATGGAATTACATGTTCGCTACGGCTTACAATGTGGTTGCCATCCCGATTGCTGCCGGCGTTTTCTTTCCTTTGGTAAAAGTTGAGATGCCGCCTTGGATGGCCGGTGCATGCATGGCCATGTCCTCTGTCAGTGTTGTGTGCTCTTCTCTTCTTCTTAAGAGATATAAAAGACCCAGACTTACCACCATACTGGAAATTACTGTAGAGTAAAAAAAGCTAGAAAAATAATAATAATAACACCCCCCCTTTATGTAACTTTATAAGTATGTACCCTTGATCCCGTTTGGACGGTTTGGTGCTCAAAAGCTGTATAGATGTATGTTATCATGCATTATATTTTGGATCCCAATTCAAAAATTGAGGAAGCTCAGAAATCAGTCGTATGTCCCAACTCCCAAGTCTCTAACCCTTGTAAGAGTTCATTTTTGTAATTCATGAAATGGGAAATATAAAATGCGTGTAGCGTGATGGTATTTACCAATTATAAATATTATTTGATATATTATGTTTATTTTCAGACTTTGTCATATCTACCTTGCTACATAAGTACATGGCCAAACACTCCCTATAAAAATAGTTCGGGAGAACTATCAAATAGATCCTCGAACTTTCATAAAAAGTGAAAATAAGCCCTTTTGCAGGAAACTTTGTCCGGTTGTTGCCATTTGGGAATTGGGACGGTTTTCGGTGGAATTTGTTGATGAAATTTTTTATCATCATTCTTCATTAAGTCTAGTTTACCTATACCAAATTTCAGCTAAAAATTCATTTAGAGAAGGCAGTCAAATGATTTTCTGAAATATACTGCGCTGCCTAACTGTGCAGTTATCTTCAAAAATTCATCTGACTGCCTTTCCGATTGAATTTTTAGCCGAAATTTGGTATGAGTAAACTAAACTTAATGAAGAAGATGCTAAAAAAATTTCATCAAAAAGTTCCACAGGAAACTGCTCCAAATGGCGGCAGCCGGACAAAGCCTCCTGTAAAAGGGTTTATTTGCACTTTTTATGAAAGTTCGAGGACTTATTTGATAGCTGTCCCAAAATACGGAGTAATTCACGAGTTCACAACCAATACTTGAATGCCAACTACTCCCTTCGTCCCAATTTGATTTGCAAAATTTCCTTTTTTGGTTGTCCCAAAATGGTTTTCCACTTTCTAATTTAGGTATGTAAATAAGAATAAAGTGACAAATTTACTCTTACTTTTACTTTTTCCCTATTAAAAGTGTAAAAAGAAAGCATCATTTATTTTCATTTCTTAATTTTTGTCCCGGTCAAAGTTTGCGATTCAATTCGGGACGGATGGAGTAGTTTCTTAGGAACATGCGTGCAGCGCTCGGTAGGTGAGCGAGACCCACCTTGGCTCCTGAATGTCCCGGTCTACACTTTTTGGGAGATTTCAACAAATAGGAGCAAAACGTACGAATTTTCCAAAATTAAGACCGAAGATTAGCGTAAGACTCAACTACACATGCATTGACCACAATACCCTTACTTTTATAAAATAACAGACTTTAAATAGACAATAAGTAGACAATAAATAAACAATAAATTCTGATAAAAGCTATGAAGGGCAAATTTGGAAAGTTAGAAATATGTTTCCTAATCTAGAACTAAATAGGTAATATGAATGGAAAAAACATTAGCAGCTATTAGTTTTGTAAAAAAGCTATGATTTGGTCCTACTAGAAGCAAATTTGTCACACTTTTTTGGTTGTTTTTTTAATTTCTCACGTGACTAGTTTTTCTCTTTATTTCATGTTTGTGTTTTTTAGTCAGGTATTGTTTTGGTACTTTTCAAAGTTTTTAGGTTTCATGTTCAGGTGAAGATTAGTGGCAGGAGACTAGCTTGGTCATTGCTGGCTTACCGTATATGCCTTGTATTAGCGATCCAAATATTTGTCTGGTTATTTCTTATTTCCCTTCGTGACAGTTCATAGTGATGAGTTTTTCCCGGAATAATGCAAATTAAATAAATAATTCTCCAAATATTGCCGGTTCAAAAGTCGTCACTTGAAGTGACAGTTGTTCTATACGTATACAAAAGTCGCCACTTGAAGTGGCGGCCCATTTGCAAATAAAATTCCGCATTCTCCTTCCCGAACGCAGAACGACGGAACAAGAAAGGAGCTCTGCTGCTGCTACTGCTGCGTGATTTCAGTCCGATTTCCGGCCTGCCAACGTCCTAAAGAAGCTCAAATCAAAGGGGAAAAATACACCGTGTACCTGAAGTCGTTTGTGCTCAATTGTATCCACTTTCAACCGTTTTATTCGAGGTATTTCACCATTTTCCCCAAAGCTAGGGTTTTTTCAATTTTAAATCGAAATTGCTTGTTTTTTTTGGATTATTTTATTTGTATTTGATGTTATGAAATATATAAGTTGTTAATGTTGTTATTATGCTTGAATTTATTTAATTTGTAGAATTTGAATTATTTTTTGTGTTGGTTGGAATGAGTTTAATAGATGCATCGTTTGAGAAAGAGTAATGTATCTATCTGATTTTTTTAATGAATGTAATCATAAAAATGATATCTATGATTTAATACAATTTGTTTGAATTAAAATACTTATATTTGAATTTTCAACTTGCGGCTTGAGTCATAGGTTTTTTGGAATGATTTTTGATAGAATATGTCTCCAAACTTTCCCATTGTTTGTCACTGGGGAGAAAATATAATCGAGGAGTCGAACGCAATTCATTATGAAGGGGGGAGTCGGAAGATAATTGCTGTGTCCGGTGTGGCGGGTGTGGCTGAGTTAATGAATAAAATTTATACCGCCACATCCATCAATCGTATGAACAAGTTAAATTTGAAAGTTAAATATCCCATTCATGGTGGATCATACATGTTGATGCCTCTTGCTGACGACGAAGCCGTTTCGGGGATGTGGACCTTGATCACGAATCTTGCTAAGCATACTATGGAGATATATGTTGAAGAAGTGACTATGTTGCCCATACAACCTGACAACCTGTCATTATCTTACCCATCCACAAATGTTCCAGTTGTGATGAATATGGTTGCACAGGAGAATGGAAGATACGTGAACAGGGATGCAACATTTCTGGATTCACAGCACATCAACGACGATGCTGATGAAAATGTGAATCATGACACACTAACAGATTCAGATTCAGATGTTGGTGATCTCGTAAGTGGCAATGCTCCATCCAGCTACTACACTAAAGTTGATGACCTCCCTGCGGGATTTGATGAATCATGGAGGGGTTGTACAACTTCCAGTGGCTTCTCTGCAGATGGTGAATTCGAGGTTGGGCAAGAGTTTAATGATAAGAAATAACTGATTAACATGGTTAGAGTGTACTCTGTAAAGAGGAATCAATTTTTTTCAGTTATAGAGTCTTACAAACACAAATGGGTGGCAGAGTGTAAGCACAAAAAAGAATGTGGTTGCACTTGGCGGATCCGGACTACAAAGAAACATGTGGGGCTAGATATGTTCAAAGTTGTTCGTTATGCAGGTCCTCATATACCTACTTGTCTAGGTAACGTCGATAACAATGACCATGTTGGTATCAAATCTCAGTTCATAGCCCGTGAAATTATTGATCTTCTTCGTACTGATCCATCACTAAAAGTTCGCACTATTAGTGAACTTATGAAGGAAAAGTACAAGTATGTACCGTCATACAAGCGAAGTTGGTTGGCTAAGCAAAAAGCTATCGGTGAAATATTTGGAGATTGGGAGGCGTCGTATTCTGCTTTGCCCCATTTCATGTTGGCATTACAGCATTCCAATCCAGGGACGGTTGTGCATTGGTACCCACCTCTTTCAGGTACCAATGAGTTATTAATATCTTTTATTGTATCATATTACATTCCATTTTAAATCCGTCACACTAATTTTCTCCATCTTTCAGGTACCACTAGCTTTGTGCAGTTTCAAAGAGTTTTTTGGGCGTTTAAGCCATCAATTAAAGGCTTTAAGCATTGTCGTCCCTTACTGACCATTGATGGAACACACTTATATGGGAAGTATAAAGGTACGTTGTTGGTGGCAATGGGTAGTGATGCTAATAATCAACTTTTCCCTTTGGCGTTCGCTATTTGTGAATCAGAGAATGGAGAGAGTTGGCCGTGGTTTATGGGATGCATACGTCATTTTATCACACGCAGAGAATTGTGTGTTATTTCAGATCGATATGCTGGAATTCAGAAGGCACTTAATGAGGTAGGTAGTGGATGGGAGGACCCAGATTCACGACATAGGCTTTGCATACGACATGTCGCTTCTAATCTGCATACTCAATTTAAAGACGTTCACTTGAAAAATCTGTTCGTTTGGACAGCAAGTCAACGTCAAAAGAAGAAATTTGATGGTGGATTTAACAGGATTGGCGAAATGCAGGTAGGAACACGAGAATATCTAGCGAACATTGGTTCGGAGAAGTGGTCTTTACACCACGACGGGGGGTACATGTATGGCACCACAACAACGAACATGGCTGAAGTATTCAACAGCGTCATGAAAAATGCACGATACCTGCCTATAACCGCCTTAGTTGAGTTATCATTCTATCGTGTGAATGCCTATTTTGTAGAAAGAAGAGAAACTAGTAAGAGAAGGTTAGCAGTAGGGCATCGTTACTGCCAGCAAGTGACTGAACTGATTGAAAGAAATACGGAAAAGGCAAAGCATCACAATGTCACAACATTTGACATAGGCCGTGGTTTATACCAAGTGGAGACGGGTCGTGGTGGTCGAACTGTGGGGAAGGGTGGTACAAAACAAACGGTAAATTTGCACCGTCGCCATTGCACATGTCAGAAGCTGAATATTTATAAGATTCCTTGCTCACATATCTTAGCGGTATGCAGAGAACGTAGTTTGTCCTATGATGCTTTTGTTGATACGTTTTTCTCATCAGTGGAGTACGCGACTTCTTATAAAAGAGTATTCAAGCCCATACGGATATAGCTTATAGACCTACTTACACTGAACCACGAGTTGTGCATGACCCGTCAATGATTCGCGCTAAAGGTCGTCCGAAGGCTAAACGGTTGAGAAATGAAATGGGTGAAGGTCCTAGAGGTACTGTAAGATGCGGTTTATGCAAGCAAACAAGGCATAACAGGAAGACATGTGCTAAAAGATCGCATGAACACGTAGGAAGTTCCACTAGGTAATGTTGTTATTTTATTCACAAATGCATTAACAACATTAAAAAATAAATACATTTAAATACAGTTAATTTTAATAAAAAAATAAAAGAACCAATACATATGTTACTATTACAGCGCCGATGCAGGTGTCAGTGGATCCCACACCGATTGATCCTTCAGTCCTGACATTGCAGGCCACACATCGGAGCGAGGATGTGTGGCGTGACCTGGATGTTCAGGTAGATAGGTGTCGTGAGGACCTACGCACTATATTCCACATGCTGGTGGATGCTAGGATTCTACATTACGTTCGATTAGCTGGGTTTTACGGTGTTCACGGATTAGTTTGGACTCTGCATATAGATAGAGCATTACTTACCGCTCTACTTGAGCGTT